GATATATGTAAATTTTTAGTCGCAAATTGTATAATATGTAAAATAAAAAATACAAATTTTTTGTTACATAGAAAACTTGTAAATAAAATAAGATTAGATATAATCTTATTATAATGTATCTACTCTAAAAAACGTAAAGAACATTGCGCGATAGTCTCGATACTCGCATGCACATTCCATCATTCGATCTAAGAAATGTATCTTTACTCCCCGTAATTCGTTTTTGCTCTGTTTTTTTTTTTCTTTTAATTTTTTTCTTACCATCCACCGCTTATTCTCGCGAACCGGATGCGCGATGCTCGAAGTCGTAAAATACCAGCGTCGCACGCGCATGCGAGATAGAACCGGTTGTTCTCTCTTTCTCTCTCTTGTATCGAAAAACAAATATTTTTCGGTGCGGCTATTCCGCGGCTTTAAATATTTGGCACACACATGTTTCTCTCGCATCAACTTCCTGCCCGATGCGGTTTATTACTACATATTGACAGACTTCGCAATGCGTAAATAAATATAATAATGAATTTCGCGAAACACAATATAATGCAATAAAATTAGTGTAAATATCCTGAAAACTTACACAGAAATTTGCCTAATTGCGAAAGTTTATTATAAACATAATTTGATAACTTATATTAGGTATTTTGCAATGGATCAATTGATCCAATCGTTGAATAGCATGCATATATTTTTGTGTGCGTCAATTTATGTACGAAATTAATATAATTTCTTTTTGATTTTTAAATATATATATATATTCGATTCTTATATATATATGATATTTATTATTATGTGATAAAAAGAAAGCATCTCACTCATATAGAACTGATGTCCTAACTTATGTAGGCCCCCCTCCCCATGACAAATTTAGATCCGACACTATAAAACCCCCTCGCAGCTACTGTCTCCGTCGCGTTATGAAATCTAACCACGTCGCTGGCGATAAATCAACGCATCGAGCAACAGTCGGCCGATCTCACGGGCAATTCTCGATCGTGCTGCCGGTCAGCCGATCAATCATGCTCTTTCAATCCCCGACACGTGCGCAATCCGACAAACGTCGCAGCGTACGAATGAGTGAAGGTCAATGTGGTATTGCGAGGCAGCCAGCCAGCACCAGGTGGACCGTTCACGCTAATTCACTAGTTAGCTCCGTACGCCCAGTATTGAATACGTCACGTTTCTCGATTCGCATCTGCCTATCCATACTCTCTGGAGGTCCTCAATGCCGTGATTTTAATTAGGGGAAGTGAGATAAAATCGAACAGAGAATCAAATCAAACCTAAAATGGATGGTCTTTTTTCTAAGGTCTTTTCATAAGTTTAAATATTTTCGTTTTTCATACACAATGTATGATTAAAATTGACGAAATTAAAGACATATTTTATATTATTTAACATCTTGCCTTATGTTAGTAATATTTCAATTACTTCAAAAAGCTCCAAACATCATATATTATACTTGTCTTAATTTATGAGAGAAGAGAAAATTTTACTGTTTCATTAATTTGTTCTTTGGAGTTCTTTGCTCTCTCATTCCTCTGATTTTTCCGATTCTTCGATTTTTTTCTTCGAGAAATCATTATGAACGATGAATTTTTTTTCTGCGCTTAAAGCAAGTGTTTTATAGTTCGCCTCGTCCTAGTCACGGTGCTGACTCGCACCTTTCTCTTTTAATTTTTTTCTTACCATCCACCGCTTATTCTCGCGAACCGGATGCGCGATGCTCGAAGTCGTAAAATACCAGCGTCGCACGCGCATGCGAGATAGAACCGGTTGTTCTCTCTTTCTCTCTCTTGTATCGAAAAACAAATATTTTTCGGTGCGGCTATTCCGCGGCTTTAAATATTTGGCACACACATGTTTCTCTCGCATCAACTTCCTGCCCGATGCGGTTTATTACTACATATTGACAGACTTCGCAATGCGTAAATAAATATAATAATGAATTTCGCGAAACACAATATAATGCAATAAAATTAGTGTAAATATCCTGAAAACTTACACAGAAATTTGCCTAATTGCGAAAGTTTATTATAAACATAATTTGATAACTTATATTAGGTATTTTGCAATGGATCAATTGATCCAATCGTTGAATAGCATGCATATATTTTTGTGTGCGTCAATTTATGTACGAAATTAATATAATTTCTTTTTGATTTTTAAATATATATATATATTCGATTCTTATATATATATGATATTTATTATTATGTGATAAAAAGAAAGCATCTCACTCATATAGAACTGATGTCCTAACTTATGTAGGCCCCCCTCCCCATGACAAATTTAGATCCGACACTATAAAACCCCCTCGCAGCTACTGTCTCCGTCGCGTTATGAAATCTAACCACGTCGCTGGCGATAAATCAACGCATCGAGCAACAGTCGGCCGATCTCACGGGCAATTCTCGATCGTGCTGCCGGTCAGCCGATCAATCATGCTCTTTCAATCCCCGACACGTGCGCAATCCGACAAACGTCGCAGCGTACGAATGAGTGAAGGTCAATGTGGTATTGCGAGGCAGCCAGCCAGCACCAGGTGGACCGTTCACGCTAATTCACTAGTTAGCTCCGTACGCCCAGTATTGAATACGTCACGTTTCTCGATTCGCATCTGCCTATCCATACTCTCTGGAGGTCCTCAATGCCGTGATTTTAATTAGGGGAAGTGAGATAAAATCGAACAGAGAATCAAATCAAACCTAAAATGGATGGTCTTTTTTCTAAGGTCTTTTCATAAGTTTAAATATTTTCGTTTTTCATACACAATGTATGATTAAAATTGACGAAATTAAAGACATATTTTATATTATTTAACATCTTGCCTTATGTTAGTAATATTTCAATTACTTCAAAAAGCTCCAAACATCATATATTATACTTGTCTTAATTTATGAGAGAAGAGAAAATTTTACTGTTTCATTAATTTGTTCTTTGGAGTTCTTTGCTCTCTCATTCCTCTGATTTTTCCGATTCTTCGATTTTTTTCTTCGAGAAATCATTATGAACGATGAATTTTTTTTCTGCGCTTAAAGCAAGTGTTTTATAGTTCGCCTCGTCCTAGTCACGGTGCTGACTCGCACCTTTCTTGGTCTCCGTGGCAGTCGAGACTATAACACATTGCTCTCGGAGAATTAATTGAGCGGCTGCGAGACGCGGAGATACGGGGCCGCGATGACCGTACGGGATATAATGGATGGATAGTCGCGCAGCTAGATAATAGATGGATAGATATACGCCGGTGGATGATAATGGGCCGTGTCAAGTGCGAGACGCGACGAGACGAACTGAAGTAACCCAAGTGCCTGCAATGTGTATGCGACCACGGGGTCGAAGGCTCCTTGCGTGACGTCACGATACTCGCCCAGCATCTCGTCTCTCATCAGAACCTCGTCTGTGCATGTGTACTATTACTTGCTATTACATAGACTGCCCCAAAGTTAGCGAATTAATTTTCATTTATGAATTCTTTGATTTTTTTCCTTAGCGAAAATACCATACACACAGAAAAATACATACTATATACAAGTAAATATTACTTGTTCCAAGTATTTCATAAGTTCATATATCCGCAAATCTATCATAAGTTTATCATAAGCATCAAATTTATTCAAAATATATTCTGAATCCTAATAAATTTAATATTTCAATCAAGAATATTAAATTATATAATTGAAAGAAATACATTAAATTTTTCTGATCTAATAAATTTTCTTACATTAAATTAACCATATCTGACTTTTCTTCGATAAAATTTTATAATATTCTTCAAAAGAAAATATTTACTTTTTTTGAGTACATGATAATGAGTATTTCTAAAATTTGTGACAAGTCTATTTTAAGACTATTATTAAGAAAATATTCTTTGTTAAAGATAATTGTTACTTAAAAGAAGTAAAGTAAACTGAGTAATCATTTTACTTAGCAATAGAATAATATTTTTCTGTGTGTAGGAGGATCTTTCTCTCAACTTTTCCAATTTCCAATTATTTCTAACTATTTTTTATATATTTTTCAAGATTTAACTTTTTTAAATTTACTTAAAATTAAATCAAGAATATTTATATATGATTTCATTGTCTGTAATCTCTGGAACTTATTGTTAGTTCCCGCACGGAAAGCATTTTTCAATAATCGAAAATATTGTCTGAATAAATATTTTAATGTATTTTGTGATTGATGGACTATTTTAAAAAAACAATATCGATACAAGTTCGAAGTAATCTTATTATTTATCTTCTTATGCATATATAACAGACAAAGAGTTTGCAGACTATTTTGTTTGAACATTGAATTGTTTGAAAACCATTGCGGATTGCGGCTAGCCGGAGAAATCCAGCTAGTCGATCCCTTTAATCCCTTGCTTTACAAAGTATCTTGTGGTCTTGCTCTATCTCCAATTCTGTTAAAACGCGCAAGAATATCTCAGGAGAGATGCAGAACGATTAATGTTTGTTTTCGAAAACTTTAATAAAGGGATGAATCTCTCATAAATGCAGACGTAAATACCATTTTAGTGGAGTTTAACTTAATCGATCACACTGCTATTTTGTCATGTCATTTAATACATGATAAAATAATAGATAATAAAATGATTGTTCTGTTATTTTAGTCAATTATTCCTATTTATAGTAAGTACTATACATCACAATAATCTTGACCATTCTTGGATAAATAATAATTATTTATTTATTGCACATTAATTGTGTCTAGCAAAAGAAGTATTTTTAGCCTGATGTACCGCGATGATTACCATAATAGTGGTCGATTCATCATTTTGATAACCTCTGTACAAAGTTCAATTACGACAATTGTTTGACTCGACCGAATTGTATTCTGCGCGCAGTTTAAAGAACATTTTGCTAACGACGCGTTTCCTCGTCCGCCAATGTCTGCGTGCCCAAGGGAATTAACTACCGCGGTTTAACCCGCACCGCCATAAATTGATTAAGTCACTGAAAGCGATGTAATTTGTCTTCTACTTCGTTTTGTTGCAGATCAGTGCGGAAAGTGCCGCGCCAGCACGAAGAGGCTAAATCTCAACAAGTACTGCAAAAGAGACTATGGTAAGTGCGTGTCTCCAAACCAAACAATGTCGTAGACAGAGAAAGGTGTATTAATTGCACTCTCGTCCCTGATATAATGAAACTCGTAGAAACCCAAACATTGCATGCAAATCCCTTCGCAATGCGAATTTCTCAGAGTCCTATAATTAACTGGTCGTTATATACGTACATACAATTGCTACCAAAAGAATTCTAATGTTAGAATGATTTATTACCTATAAGATAAAAGAGTTTGTCTTAATTTTCTTGAATTTATATGTGTATTTCATATGTATATATAAACAATTAGTTTTACATTCCTATATTAGGTATTCCGTTATTTTTCCAATAGAAACATAATAATCTAATATCGTTATATTCTGGCGAGCTAAACAGAAAAGATTAGAATGACGATAAACGTGATGATATAGACATCGATTCTCTGGCTCTATTGTGGAAAAACATTACCAGGACAGAGCTACCGGAATTGTTTCGGCTTTTATCGGGAATAGATATGTACCCAACCCGGTAACGGGAGAGGAGGATGCATGTGAAACAACGATTTATGCCAGAGTATCGTTCTCTCCCTCAAAAGTCCTCGAAAAAGTCGAACATAAACGTACGTTCAGAGAGGAATATGAACAGAAAGAACCAGGAAGACAGTAAGAGGCAATTACAAATTTTACTTTAGAAAGCTTCGGGGATTTTTCTTTCTTTCTTTACCTTATATATATTTCTTTACCAAATTTATATTTTTTCATATTTTTTCAATAATTGTAATCAGTTCTTTATATTTTCTCTAGACTCATCGCGTTCTGTGTAATAGATATAAATAAAATGGTGCTATCTCAAATCGCCATTTATTTATAATAAAAGCTGAAAAATTATTTTTTTATTTATCGATTTTTAATATTCGAGCTCGCCGAGTTTGCTAGATTCAATCGTTGAGGAGAATAAGGGAGAAGGATTGTTTGCATATATTTCTCTCTCCCTTCCACGGTACTGCGTATAACGGTTCGTTAAAAAATGAAAGACTCGCGTTTTAATGGTGCCGGGTGCTTTCAATAATAGAATGGTATGCCTTTGAGCCGTGGTCCGGCACGAGTTTGGCCGGGCGGCGGCTTCGACCTCCCGTCTCCTGTCCTGTCCGCTCGTTTGATTCAACGCAGATAAATCTTCAACAGGTCTGCACTTAGCTGTCTCCGACTTAGAATAGCGGCTGAAACGAGCGCGCATCCCGCAGCCGTCTCGGGAAACCAATCGGGAACGGCGACGTTCTCGACGCTGCGCGTGCTTCCACGTATTTTTTCGCCACCGCGAATTTCGAATACGCGAAGGGGTTTGAGTAAGGAAACTGCTGCTCCATACAAAAACATACTCAGCTGTTTCGGTATTTGCAGTCCGACAAAAAGAAAACTGCGACATGGCTCAATCTCACGCAATGGCCTGATAAAAACGAGAGAGTGAAAAAGAGATGGGGAGGAAGAGAAAGAGAACGAAAATAGTTTAGAAAAAAATAATTATTTTTTCAAAAACAACTATGTGTCAAAAATGCGCAATTAGTAAAAATAATTGTATCACATGCATCATACGTATAATAATCTTTGCGATGGAAAAAATTTAAGTTTTATCGCTGAAAATCTTTTTTTAATAGCAAAACTTCAAAATTAATTAAATTAATTAGATTTCAAAATAAAAATAAAATTCAATTATATAATTTTCCACATAAATATTTAATAATTAAAAGAATCGCGTTGTGTATTCTATTTCTTGTCAATCAATTGCGTTTTTGTAAGAAAAAATTAAACAATTTGAATCATAAATGATGCAATAGTTTAACAAATGTCAATTTTAAAAACCGTGAATCATTACAAAGCTCTCTATCAAAGAAAATGCGTATTTTCGTTACAAAGATATATTTCGTTATCCTGATCCTACCCCGCGAGGGTAAATTAAAAATCTCCAGTGTACAACACGTGAAGAATAACGCGGCCTCATGATTCGAATAGCAAATTCCGGGGTCAAACAGGACGGCGTATAAACTCGTAACGTCGACGTCGAGTAATGAATGGCTCGATCGAATGCAACTCAACGTTGAATCGTTTCGCCGGGGCATGACCCTAGTCCTTGGCGAAAGGCTAATAGTATCCCTGTCCGGAGGACGACAGGATCGATGGTACGATCGTAACAGGGAAGAAAGAAAGAAAAAAGAAAAGTCTCGCCCAACCGCGGTCCCCCATTCGATTCTATAGTCTCGAACAATTGAAAGGATCCGGGCCTCTTTTGAACATAAGGAACACGTGTGTTCCTGATGCCGATTACGTATTTTAGTTGTAACGTAAAATGTCGATTCTATGATTACATCTACTTAAGGTTTTACAATGACAAAGAAAAGTTTTTTACGCATTTAACGAAATTTCCAAAAATGTTTTCGTTTAAATTATGTAAATTGTTTTAATTGTTTGTATTTGGTGCACAAAATGTGTATCAGATTTATGAATCATTAATATTAACATTTGTAAATTATGCATATAAATTCTGTTCTAAAAACAGTATATTAAAAGATCTTTAATATCTTATTTTATAGAATATTCTTGTGGAGACAATGATATAACTTTATTTATTGTAAAATAAAATGCTTGAAACGAATTATATTTAATTTTTTTTTCACCGTAGCTATTCTGGGCAGAATAACGGACAGGCACAAGAAAAGCGACGGCTCGCAAAGCGGCACAAGTGTATCAGGCACATCCTGGATCCGATTCACTCTAAACGTCGATTTCATTTACAAGAAAAATTCCAACTCGAGGCTTCGACGTGGTGACTTATCTCTTTACGTTCATTCGGCTGATCTGGCCTGCAGATGCCCAAAAATCAAACCTAATAAGTAAGTATTTCATCTCTTGACAAATCGGAGATATTATATCTTAATTTTCTAAACAAATAATTCCGCTTGTAAGAAAATAAGTGGCATTTTTTTCGAAAATTCTAATTCTCGGTATAGGCTTTGTTATGTTTTTCTCTCTAATTATAAATCTCATTCTTTAATCATTCTTTATCGTTAATCTTACCATTACCCAGGCAATACACGTATATCAACGATATTATAAAGACATGCAAAATACGTCCTAATTTTTTCAGACATCTTTAAATATTTCTTATAGATATCTTTAGTGTTGTTTGATTTTCCGTTTGCTTTCAACTAAAAATCAAGCCAAGCGGTCAAGGTTTTCTGATATACTGTGATAATCTAGTAATCTAATAAATGTGATAATCTATAACGATCGTAAACTGCCTGTCAGATTCTGAACGAACGCGAAATTGCGTAGCGACCGGCAACAGCTGGCGACTGAACGCTGGCGACCGCGACTTGAGCTCACATTATGTGTGTTCGCAGGTCGTACTTGATCCTTGGCCAAGAGAACGACGGCGGTGGCCAAGGTGGACTCACGGTGACGCAGAGGTCGATCGTCATCGAGTGGCGCGACGAATGGCATCGCCGAATGCGCCGTTTCCAACGAAGGGCGAGATCGTGCCATTGAAGTGTTCGCACGTCGCGGAAAGAGAGGAAGAGATAGAAAGCGAGATAGAAAGAGAACAAGAAAGAGAGAGAGAGAGAAAGAGAAGGAGAAAGGGAGAGTGAATGAGAGAACGAGAGTGAGTATGTGTGAATGTGTATGTATGCGTGTGAGAAAGATAGAGAGAAAGAGAGAGAGAAGTCGATCCTTTCCCAACCGTGTTCGTAGAAGCCTGCATATCTTTATTTCCCGGCCACGAATACCGGTATCGGGGTGCCGATTTTGTTTTACGCGCGGTACTCATCGACTACTGTACGTACGTCGAAGGCAAAGTACGAGGAAGAGGAGGACGAAAGGGGAAGTTGCGATAATTCCAAATGGAGCATCCGCCGCGCGAAATGACACGAGCAATGCACGTGCATACGGAGAGATTTGCGCGCCAAGACAATTCCATTACGTAGATAATTCCGAAGCTATTCGTAAGCAAATTATCGATTATTCAAAGTATAGATACTGACAAGTAAGTACCAAAATCTCAAACGATCCGCATTTATCCTCAACGGATTATATATATTTGTATGGACTTTCCTTTTTTGTTTCGAAATGAAAAGGTCGCAAAAGTCCAAGCCTTTAAGCCGAACTTATATCTTTGTCCGTATGAAATGCAAATCAGTTTAGATTTGTTCGAAGATGGCAAATCGCGTACCTAACGAATATCTAATGTCTCTGTGTAGAACGAGCGTATATTCCTCGATGTCGATTCACTCCTGACATTTGTCGCGCGACATTTCTACGTGACAAGCGATTTATTGAACGGCATGAATCTTTGAGGCCGTGCCCGTTCGCACCCGATAAATCGCATGTCCGTGAGAAATGTCGCGAGATGAATGTTGGGTCGAATTTACGCGACAGATTCAATTACTCTGGAATACCGCAAATCGCTGCCGGTATGGTGTTCTCGGCGGTATTCAATGACGAATAATCGCCCGAATATGTCGTTGTCTGTGTAGTTTCTGTACCATTTGTACCTAACATTTAAACGAGATTTAAATGAAAAATATTTACTTCCACATCAAAAAACGTTTATAGCACAGTCAGAATATCGCACTCAATAGAAATTAATTAATAGAAATTAATGGTTTTAATTAAGTTGAACGCACAACGATATATGCAATGTAGTTTGTGGTATTATTGCCGTTATATAATATATGGAATAATCAAGCTCTTTCAAAACGCTTCTCCACAATGATAATTCATATTCATCAACATCAATTTGCTATATACAAAAAATGGACGTGTATAAATTATACGTGATATATCGTGAGCGCGATATGTATGAACCGGGCGTTAATGCATTTATATTACGGAAGGTGCTGTCATTAAAGCTTAATAGATTCGGTAAAGCGAAATCAATTTCCGAAATCATACGCGTCGCTGATGCACAATCTTTAATCTTATTCGTCCCCTTTTATTTTTGCTTTATGAGCAGAAATTGATGCGATGGCTAAAAAAGGAACGCAAAATATTCTTCTGTTTTTGAAAAAAATTTTATCTAGAGCTTTTATTTTTTCTACGTTCTTATTAGGTTAATGGACCGATAGAAAGAGAACAAGAAAGAGAGAGAGAGAGAGAGAAAGAGAAGGAGAAAGGGAGAGTGAATGAGAGAACGAGAGTGAGTATGTGTGAATGTGTATGTATGCGTGTGAGAAAGATAGAGAGAAAGAGAGAGAGAAGTCGATCCTTTCCCAACCGTGTTCGTAGAAGCCTGCATATCTTTATTTCCCGGCCACGAATACCGGTATCGGGGTGCCGATTTTGTTTTACGCGCGGTACTCATCGACTACTGTACGTACGTCGAAGGCAAAGTACGAGGAAGAGGAGGACGAAAGGGGAAGTTGCGATAATTCCAAATGGAGCATCCGCCGCGCGAAATGACACGAGCAATGCACGTGCATACGGAGAGATTTGCGCGCCAAGACAATTCCATTACGTAGATAATTCCGAAGCTATTCGTAAGCAAATTATCGATTATTCAAAGTATAGATACTGACAAGTAAGTACCAAAATCTCAAACGATCCGCATTTATCCTCAACGGATTATATATATTTGTATGGACTTTCCTTTTTTGTTTCGAAATGAAAAGGTCGCAAAAGTCCAAGCCTTTAAGCCGAACTTATATCTTTGTCCGTATGAAATGCAAATCAGTTTAGATTTGTTCGAAGATGGCAAATCGCGTACCTAACGAATATCTAATGTCTCTGTGTAGAACGAGCGTATATTCCTCGATGTCGATTCACTCCTGACATTTGTCGCGCGACATTTCTACGTGACAAGCGATTTATTGAACGGCATGAATCTTTGAGGCCGTGCCCGTTCGCACCCGATAAATCGCATGTCCGTGAGAAATGTCGCGAGATGAATGTTGGGTCGAATTTACGCGACAGATTCAATTACTCTGGAATACCGCAAATCGCTGCCGGTATGGTGTTCTCGGCGGTATTCAATGACGAATAATCGCCCGAATATGTCGTTGTCTGTGTAGTTTCTGTACCATTTGTACCTAACATTTAAACGAGATTTAAATGAAAAATATTTACTTCCACATCAAAAAACGTTTATAGCACAGTCAGAATATCGCACTCAATAGAAATTAATTAATAGAAATTAATGGTTTTAATTAAGTTGAACGCACAACGATATATGCAATGTAGTTTGTGGTATTATTGCCGTTATATAATATATGGAATAATCAAGCTCTTTCAAAACGCTTCTCCACAATGATAATTCATATTCATCAACATCAATTTGCTATATACAAAAAATGGACGTGTATAAATTATACGTGATATATCGTGAGCGCGATATGTATGAACCGGGCGTTAATGCATTTATATTACGGAAGGTGCTGTCATTAAAGCTTAATAGATTCGGTAAAGCGAAATCAATTTCCGAAATCATACGCGTCGCTGATGCACAATCTTTAATCTTATTCGTCCCCTTTTATTTTTGCTTTATGAGCAGAAATTGATGCGATGGCTAAAAAAGGAACGCAAAATATTCTTCTGTTTTTGAAAAAAATTTTATCTAGAGCTTTTATTTTTTCTACGTTCTTATTAGGTTAATGGACCTTGTAATTGCAAGTCCATTCAAGTATTTTGTAAGAACGAAAGAAAGAAAGTTCTACATATATATTTTTTTTAAACAAGAATTTTGCTTCTCTGTGCCTTTTTTCCTTGATCTCAATCTTTTATTGTCTTAATCTTGAATCACTACATAAAAATAATTTTAAAGTCCATTCAAGTATTTTGTAAGAACGAAAGAAAGAAAGCTTTACATATATATCTTTTTTAAACAAGAATTTTGCTTCTCTGTGCCTTTTTTCCTTGATCTCAATCTTTTATTGTCTTAATCTTGAATCACTACATAAAAATAATTTTATATGGTGTAATAAAAAAGATTATGTAATGTATACGGATCGCAAATTGTACGGCAATATTTCGACGTTACTGTAAATAGTAATAACGAGGTAAAAATACATGTGATAATACAACATGTGCTTCTCGACTTTACTCTTGAGAAAATCGCGACACACCTGCTACGGAAGCATGATTTAACTGTGTCCAGTACTGGAGGGCTCGTATCGTTGTCGGTATTAAAAGGCTAGTCTCAAGTAGACAAGCGCAAAATGCGTACGTACATGTAGCATGTCTTAGCCACTTCAAATCTGATTTATTCGCGGCTGTCTTGTCTTGAGAGCCGGTGCACTCGGAGAAAGTGGGCGTGAGAGGGAAACAGCGCGAGAATCCAATGAAGTCCCGAGAGAGGCAAGAAGAGAAACGAAAACGTACGCGAAGCAAGTAGATAAGACGACACATAAGCATGAAATATATGATTTTCAATTATTTGATATGAAATATTAAATATATCGGAATATATAAGATGTTTAAAACTTAATCAAGCTACATTTTTCAGAGATCTCTTTAATCATTTTTTAATAAGAAAATATTGGAAGATGTCATTTATTTTTGTTGCATTTTAATTTAAAAGTTATTGGTCTCTCGATATCTTTCTCGAGAAAAATTAATTCCAGATTTTTTAAAGAGCCCGTAGACAGAAAGCAACACGATAAATCTACACATATTATATATTCTATAACGGAAAATTAATTTCAATAGCGTTTTCTCGACATGAAAATAATGACCACGTTTCTACTTCGTCCTATCGATTGCTGAACAAACGTTCGTTAAGTCGAAAGAGAAATCTTTAGACCAGGAGAAATTCTCTATCATTTTATTTCATTCTTCGTCAAACTGCACACATGAACATTGTTTAAGATTATACAAACTAATGTAAAAGCGTGAATATTTATTACTCTACTTTTGCAAATTTATGTTAGGTTGTTAATGATGTTTAAAAGAATTTAAAGAGAAATATTGCACTAGAACATTCGTGTAAAAATCGTTCGTGCTCTTAAAGATGTTCAAATCCGTACGGCGAATTTTAATTCGGTTAAATACATTTGAGTGTCCATGTAAAAGCATGACGCTCGTACAGAGACATTGGTTCATTCGGTGAAATAAATTGCTTGCGATACATTTGGCTCTAAGGCTATTAGCAATCCGAGGAGTGCGGATTTAAGTCAAGTTGTCGACCAGCATCCATTTTACTCGGCTTAAATGCTTCTTTGAGCGAGGTACGCTAAAATTGGAACGAATGGAATTTGCCTGGAGATGGATACGCGCGTCTTGCATCCGATCGAGAATAATATGCAAGGATGTACGACAAAGCTGCGAGATTCGCGAGTCATTCAATTGAGCAAGATAACCGAAAACCAAACAGAGCGTATCAGTATTTTTGTTAAATGACTATTCGTTGAGATAATATTTACAAAACATAGTGTCTTGTTTGTGACTTTTGTCTCAATACAAAAAATAAAAATAAGTATTAAAAAAGGACACAAGCATTGCATTGCACGTTGCTTTTCGACACAATGGCGGATTGCTCGATTGTAAATGGCACAAGATTCATCCCCGGGCTTCCCCTCCCTCTCTCGCGACTTCTGTTTTAATTTATTTATTCTTCGCTCTCGCTCGATCATCGCGCGTCGACCGTATTCATATAGAAATATCACATCGCGTTCGTTGAATGTAGATTTTCTCTTGTACATTTTCTATATAAATTATTAAGATCCTTTTCTAGCTCGTATATTATATTACGTAGTAGTATGAGAGAGAGAAAGAGAGAAAAAAAAGAGAGAAAAAGAGAGAGAAAGGAGAGATTGGTAGAGGCTAAGCGCACTGACACGTGTCACGATGTGAGTCGCGGACTTATCGATCAATGGTGACACTCTCCCGGATTGTTTGCGTCACGGATTCCAGACGGTGACGGCGGCGTTCAGTTAATCATCGTTCGTAAAAACGCGGAAACATCATTGATCCTTATGAAACGATATTTTAAAGATATAATTGAAGTGGTAAATGAAAAAAAAACACCTAAATAAAATATCAGTCGAAGAAAAGTCATTAACATAGATAGAGATCAGTGAAGAACACTGGTTTGGAAATTATCGCGTGTTATTCGATGTAATCGACGACCCGCAACCGCAAAGAGCCCACCTGTTACGTCCCGCTGCCTGATTCTATCCGGATTCCTGATATCACATCAACACGCGAGGAAACTATCGCGAAGACTATTCTTCCAGAGCTGTAAGTCCTTCTCGCGAGAGTACGATAAGAAAGGATTCGCGAAGATCCGACGATCAAATGGCACAAGCGTATTATTTAGAAATAATGAAATAATCTGTAGAAACATTTATCTGTAACCACGTGCTTTGTGTGGTTTGATAGAAAGAAAAATTTCTAAGATTAATTTGATCCTCCGAAAGGAATGGAGACGCCGTTTACGCTACTCGATTTTTTGGCGATATCAAGATAAAATTGTTCTCCATCTACGTCACAATATGTTAAACCATCGCATATAGCCCTTGTACGTTATGATATTATATTTATAGCGATTGTAATGCTACGATATGATAAAAATGCAAAATTATATATATAAACAAATATCGCTAAAAAATTGCGTAATGTAAATACGCTGTTACGCGCGATTGCGATAACGATCAAGCGGATTATCCTTCACGCATCGCGTTTCGAGCCAAGTTCCTAAATTGTGCCGAATGCGTCCCCCTCTTCCGTTTCATTAAACGATCGATTAAAACGATCTGTTCCTTTTAGTGAAAAACAGCGCGAAAAAAACGGAACGAGGGGGAAAATGGTCTGTGCACATGTCGCGTTCAAAAGGAACCCATCATCAGTGCTCGCATCAGATTAGCGCAACGGTAGTATCGATTTTATTCGATAATCGTATTTATTCGTTAATTTTTCCCATGTACGAAATGCGAATTATCATCGGATTTCTTTATCTATGATCAATGGAATTCTAAACATACGTCCACATCAATTCAACGCAAATCGCGATAAAGCTCTCTTTTTTTAATCAACGATTAAAAAGTATATATATACACAATATATCTTTTAAAGAAAAATCCACTATGAGTCAAATAGAAAATTTATAATCGAAAAAAATGCGT